TGAGTTTAGTAGTAAGAAGTTATTAGTCAATCATTTTTTTCAACTATGCATTTTGTGACTTTTGCAAATTGGTTGGATCTGGCCTTGAGAAAATATAGAGCTGGGTGTCGTTAGTATAACAGTGAAAAGTAACTCCAGGCTGCTTAATGATATCTCCTAGGAGTGACATGTGCAACATGAAAAACAATGGTCTGAGTACTGAGTCCACATTAAACTTGTGATCAATATGATACCTCATTATTTCATTCGGTGCTCCTCCAGATGACCAGATGTCGATTGCGGCATCGGAGGGTGAGCTGGAGTCTGGGGATGAGGACTCAGCTGCGTTATCCCCTTCGGGGAGAGTAGCATTGCCCGTCTAACGTTGACGGCTCGGGACACGGTGGCTCTCTCCACTCGAGCCTGACCGCCTTGGCAGCCTGGGAAATCATAGCTGTCAATTCTGGGTCAGGCTCGAGTGGAGAGAGCCACCGTATCCCGAGCCGTCAACGTTAGACGACTGGTATCTCAGGGCGGCCCGGGCTGGTTCTCAGCCCCCGCCTCAGTGCCATTCTTCCCGGAAGTGCATGAGGAGGTGACAAGGTTAGAAGGTTAGGCTAACCGAGACTTGTCATTTGCACTTATATATTGTTGCTCTTTTGTTAGTTTTGACTGCTTTTATTGTCCTCATTTGTAAGTCGCTTTGGATAAAAGCATCTGCTAAATGACTAAATGTAAATGTAAGGTCATGGACGGGACATTTTTCTGCCCAAAACCGGTCTGGTGCCTCCTCCTCCCTCACTACCCTCGATGGTGGGGCGGCCAGGGGATACGCAGAGATCCCCCCAGGTGGAGCGTGCAATTGTGTCCAAGGAGTGCTTCCACCTGGAGGGGTAACCCGCATCTCCCATCCAAGGCCTGTAAGTTCTCGTCCGTTCTTATGGCCAAGGCTTACGGAGCCGCTGGACAGGCTGCCTCCACCCTGCATGCCATGGCACTCCTGCAGGTATACCAGGCCAAGGCACTAAAGGAGTTGCACGAGGGTAGTTCTGACCCAGGGTTGATGCAGGAGCTGTGCACAGTGACGGACCTCGCCCTGAGAGCAATGGAAGTCACTGCGTGCTCCCTGGTCAGACAATGGCCACGTTGGTGGTCCAGGAACGCCATCTCTGGCTGAACCTGGCGGATATGCGGGAGACCGACAAATATAGTTTTCTCGACTCCCCTATCTCCCAGGCCGGCCTATTCAGCAATGCAGTCGAGTGCTTTGCCCAGCAGTTCTCGGCTGCCCAGAAGCAGACGGAGGCAATCAAGCATATCCTGCCCCGGCGGCCCGCTGCTGCTTTCACCCCGCCGCCGGCTGCAGCTGCTACGCCTGCTCGGCGCCGAGGGCACCCCCCCTGCGGCTTCCTCCGCCCCTGCTCAGCCTCAGCAGCAGCATCCACCAAGGCCACAGCGGGGAGCTGGCTGCAGGGGTACAGCGCAGCCCATCCAGGCCCCTGCCAAACCAGCCGGCAAGCGTAAATACAAGCGTCCCCGAGACGGGCAACCCAGAGATGGAGGGGACAGCTCTTCGGGAGATGGTGACCGCACCACTCCCTCCCCCGGAGGAGGGCCGGGTGGAGAATCTTTTGTTTCCTTTTTGTTCCCCAAACCATCAAAAAAAAATAGCAGTTTCCACTATATCTGGGTTCCAAGAGGGTGCGGATGACGTGTCACGCTATGCCTGGCCAGCCTCATCCTCCTCTCTTATCGCCAGTGGGCAGCAGGGGCCGGTTTGAGAATGCCATGCCTTCTCCCATGCCCCCTGCCCAACACTGGAGCCAGGTAAATGTTGCACTGCACACCTAGACCCCACTTCGGGATGCTATGCCTTCCAAGTCGGGTCCCTGTCCTCCACCACGTTGCCCCACCGTGGGTACGTCTGTGGTTCCTCTGGTCCCGCTTGTATGGTCTCTGGGAGCCTGGCTAGAGCTCCCCAGCACGTCTCGCTGGCTCATTCGGACCATCAGACTCAGCTATGCGATTCAGTTTGCCCGGCGTCCCCCCAAGTTCAGGGGCATCCAGTTCACCTCTGTGCTGACCAGCGGTGCTTCTGTCTTACGGGCAGAAATCGCAGTCCTGCTGGCGAAGGACGCGATAGAGACGGTCCCTCCAGCCGATATGAGGTCAGGGTTTTACAGCCCTTATTTCATTGTACCCAAGAAAGGCGGTGGGTTACGACCAATCTTGGACCTGCGAGTTTTGAACCGGGCCCTTCACAAGCTACCGTTCAAAATGTTGATGCAGAAACGCATTTTCAAATGCATCTGTCCCCAAGATTGATTTGCAGCGATTGACCTGAAGGACGCTTACTTTCATGTCTTGGCACAGGCCGTTTCTCCGCTTTGTGTTCGAGGGACGGGCATATCAGTACAAGGTCCTCCCCTTCCGGCTGTCCTTGTCGCCCCACATCTTCACGAAGGAACTATCTTGACGACTGGCTCATTCTGGCTCAGTCGCGGTATCAGTTGTGCAAACACAGGGACATGGTGCTCAGTCACCTTAGCCAGCTGGGACCTTGGGTCAACTGGGAAAAGAGCAAGCTCTCCCCTGTGCAGAGGATCTCTTTTCTTGGTATGGAGTTGGACTCGGTCAACCTGACAGCACGCCTCACAGAGGAACGTGTTCGGTCGGTGCTGAACTACTTGAATTCTCTCAAGGGCAGGACAGCGGCCCCACTGAAACTATTTCAGAGGATCCTGCGAAATATGGCAACCGCAGCCACAGTAACGCCGCTCAGACTGCTTCATATGAGGCCGCTTCAGCACTGGCTTCATGGCCGAGTCCCGAGATGGGCGTGGCAATGCGGCACACACCCGAGTGACAATCACTCCGACCTGTCACCAAGCTTTCAGCCCATGATCGGACCCTGCATTTCTATGGGCAGGAGCTCCCCTAGTACAGGTGTCCAGGCATGCTGTTGTGTTCACGGATGCCTCCACCACAGGCTGGGGTGCCACGTACAATGGGCATGTAGCTTCGGGTATTTGGATGGGTCCCCATCTGAATTGGCATATCAATTGCCTCGAGTTGCTTGCAATACGCCTAGCGCTGGGCCACTTCAAAATGCTGCTACGGGGCAAGCACGTACTGGTCCATACGGACAACACTGTGACCGTTGCGTACATCAACCATCAAGGTGGTCTACGCTCCCGTCGTATGTCGCAACTCGCCCGCCATCTCCTCCTATGGAGTCAGAAGCATCTGAGGTCACTTTGTGCCATTTATATTCTGGGCCTGCTCAATCGTGCAGCCGACGAGCTCTCAGGACAGCCTGCGCTTCCGGGAGAATGGAGACTCCATCCCCATAAGGTCCAGCTGATATGGAGACACTTCGGAGCCGCACAGGTAGACCTGTTTGCCTCTCCAGACACATCCCATTGCTAGTTGTTCTATTGCCTGACCGGGGGGACCCTCGGAGTGGATGCACTGACGCACAGCTGGCCCCCGGGGCCTATGCAAATATGCGTTTCCCCCAGTGAGCCTACTTGCACAGACACTGTGCAAGGTCAGGGAGGACGAGGAGCAGGTCCTGCTAGTTGCGCCTTACTGGCCCAACTGGACCTGGTTCCCAGAACTGATGCTCCTCACGGCAGCCCCTCCATGGTGCATTCCTCTGAGGAAGTTTCTTTACTTTCTCAGAGACTGGGCACCCTTTGGCACCCGCATCCAGATCTCTGGAACCTCTACGTGTGGTCTCTAGATGGGACACGGAGGTCCTAGGTGATCTACCCCAGGCGGTGGTAGACACCATCACTTCGGCAAGAGCCCCCTCTATGAGGCATGCCTATACCTTGAAGTGAAACCTGTTTGTTGAATGGTGCTCTTCTCACCGGGAAGACCCCTGGAGATGCCCGATCAGAGCTGTGCTTTCCTTCCTCCAGGAGGGGTTGGAGCGAAGGCTGTCTCCCTCCACCCTAAAAGTGTATGTTGCCACAATTGCCGCACATCATGATCCTGTAGATGGTGAATCTCTGGGAAAGCACAACCTGGTCATCAGGTTCCTGAGGGGCGCGAGGAAACTGAATCCTCCTTGTCTCATTTTTGCGTGTGTGAGGCACATTATTTCTTGGTGCGCGCAGCTTAGAGGGATCATTGATAAAGAGAAACAACCATGATCAGATGATAAGAGGCTAGCCTGAAGGTTTTTGGTACATGTCGTAATAACAATGAAGAGTTTATAAAGTTAAAAGGAGGTTCTACGACTTCTGGAAACATCTATTTTTATAGTTTGGTAGGTATAGGGTCTAATATACATGTTGTTGATTTAGATGAATTTACAAGTTCAGACAGTTCTTCCTCTCCTAAAGTAAGGGAGGAATGAAATTGTTCCTTTGGAGATACAGTGCCCACAGTGTCTGACACGATGCACAATATGATAGCAGGCGGTTGCATGGTTATTATTTTGTTTCTGATATTATCAATCTTGCAAGTAAAGAAATCCATAAAGTCATTACTGCTGTGTTGTTGGGAAACATCTGTACCTGTTGATATTTTATTTTTGGTTAAATTAGAATTTGTTTTATTTCTGGCCAAGAGCTTTGTAACCCTTCACAGACTGATGTATTTCAATCACCTTCTTCCTCATCATTTCTGGAGTTTCTTTCACCTTTGGCATTGTGTTACTGTTTAAGACATTTTAGCCAACTTCATGCCGTTGAAAAAGTTCTGTTTAAGTGTTGATTTGAATGAACAGGTTTGGCAGTGATCAGAACTGGTTTTGTTTGAGCCCCATTATAAATTGAGTTTCATTTATTTGGGGAATTAGAAACTATGGCGGCAAATACATTTTTAATAACTTTTTAAGTTCAATAAATAACATTGTCATTTACAAACTGTATTTAGTAGTACCTTTTGGTTGCCTTTGTTTTGTGCTAGATTTTGATTTATGGCTCAACTTAGTTTGTGGAATAAAATACTTTTTCATAGCACTGTATCCTCTAAGCAGCTGGTGTTTTGTGTGTTGTGTTCAATTCTAGGAGGAACTCAGTAAAGCACTGAAGTCTTTACAAGAGAAACTTAAACACAATGAAAAACTGAAAAGAGAGTTTGAAAAAACAGTTCAACACATTAAGGTGAGGTAACAATCAGGAGTCATTTTAATTACAGATTTAGGATCACTATATGCAATTGTGATTGTTATTTTTTATATAATAAATTCCAGTTTATGATGTTATAAATAAGCACCTATTTGTTTCTGGTTCTGTTATATGTCATTATCCGAGTTTATCAGATATTAATGATGTGAAGTGTTGATGTGTGTTGATTAAGATGATTGAAGTGAATGTGGTTTGATTTCAGTCTCAAGCAGAGCACACAGAGCATCAGATTAAACAGCAGTTTGAGAAGCTTCATCAGTTTCTCAGAGATGAAGAAGAAGCTACAATCACTGCACTGAGGGAGGAAGAGGAGCAGAAGAAGCAGATGATGAAGGAGAAGCTGGAGGAGATCAACAGACACATCTCAGCTCTTTCACACACAATCAAAGACACGGAGGAGATGATGAAAGACAATGACGTCTGCTTTCTAAAGGTCTGATTTCAGATCATAGATTGATTGATTGATTGACTGATTGATTGATTGCGTTGTTGATGATAAATTGTGTGTTTGTTCTGCAGAAGTTTCCAGTCTCGATGGAAAGGTGAGTGATCTGCTGGTGTCTCTGGTCTCTCTGCTTCTGAAGTCAAAGCCACTGCAGTTCTGACTCCTGAATGTTCTTCCAGAGTCCAGATCTCATCACAGCCAGATCCACAGACGCCTTCGTATCCACAGATGCCTTCTGGAGCTTTGATTCATGTGCCACGTTACTTGGGCAACCTGCCCTTCAGAGTCTGGAAGAAGATGCAGGACATTGTCCAAAATAGTGAGTCTGGAGATGATCTGTGCTCTTACACATACAGTTTTCATGGCACAAATGTACTAGATTTTTTCAGTTGGTAGTGAGTGAAGATCATACTTGTTCACGTATGTAATTAACTTTTTTTGAGAATGTTTCTCATTTCTTCATCTACTCAAGTCCAGAACAGACTCAACAGTGTAAAAGTGAAAAGAAACTGGAGGCTCCATTTGTGATTCTTCTGACTGAAACACTGAACCACAAATATAATATTGTGAACTCAAGTTCCTCAAATACTTTCCATTATGATTGTTTTACTAGAGGAACTACTGACAGTCTCTAGAGTTCATGAAGAAAATGTGTAATTTTGTAATCTTAGAGAGCTGAGGCCAGATTCACAACATTAAGAATAAAATTATTTTCTTCTTATTATTATTCTTATTATTATTACTTTATAACTTGAGGGAAAAAGAGTATTTTGTATAAGTTACTTAAGAGTTTCTTATCTGTTTTTAAGACAAAATGTAAGATTTCAAAATCTTGAAAAGAATGTTCGTAATAATCATATTGCTGTATTATAAAATATATTGTTACATTTACCACTTAATGATTCAGGTATTTGTTAGATTAAACAAGCCAACCTTACTAATATATAGAGCAATCAGACAACTGTCAAAACCTATCATCAGATTCTGTAAGAAAATATATTTTAAGATGTTCTTTAAAAAATATTTGAGAACTTCTTAAGAAACACTCAAGAATTACACTTGGGAACATTCATAAATGTCTTGGAATTCATTATAAGAACGTTTTTATTAAAACATTTGAATGAATCCTGCCATTTTGAAAGGGTGTGTAGAAAAAGTGTGTTACGGAATGTGGTTATGGAGAAACTCCCTCAACGAGTAATAGTTCAGTATAGAATAGAATAGAATAGAATAGAACAGAATAGAATAGAAACACTGAAGCATTTAAACTGAGATCTATGAGCTAAATATTTTTTTAAATGTGAACATGTGAACTGTTATATAGTTATCTAAGCATCCCTATGTATTCCCTATGTTTGCACACTACTACACCTGTGTGTAACTGTAAATGTCTCTGAGTTTTTTTTACCGTTCTGTGCTGATCATCCATTATTTCCAGCACCTAATCAAGCCACTCTTCTTTAAAACATGATGGTGTTTTAATTCACATGTAATTGCGCTTGCGTTGGCTCTCATGTTGAGTTATTTTGTCCGCAACTATTACTAAAGTATTCGATTTCTACAGTGACTCATTTGGCGCATATCATTCTCTTTCTATGAAACCTGTAAACCGTATTCACCAGTTTTAACTCTATAGCGACACCAATTCTATAGCAGTTTGCCAGAGCATTGCAATTATTTCGCATTTACTAAAATTCAATCAAATGGCTTTCCCAACTAATTTTTGCAACTGTCCTTTGCGTTGCACATTATTTTGTCTTTGCGGTCGCGACGCAAGAAGTGTGCAGCCACGCACAACTTAGAGGGAACATTAACAGTAAGATCCAGTTTAATGAACATTATCAGATGATGCTGAAGATGCTCAGAGTTTCATGCACAGAATTATTCATTAGTTTTTCATCTTAGATGTGATTGATTGATTCTCATTTAAACTTATCCAAAATATCAGTTTCTCTTTATGGACACAAATGTTTGAATCATACAATTAATGTTTGTATCTGATGCTATTAAACACTGACAATAAAAATGAGTTTCTAACTGATAACAGTGATCAGAGGAAAATGTCTGATGTGTTTGATCAATAGGACGAGTGTTATAATTCATAATAATGTTTTTGGTTCACTCTTGATCATTATATGAACATTAGAATAAAATCATCTGTTGATTGTGTCTCATCAGCTCCTGTGATTATGGATCCAAACACTGCAAATCCATTTCTTGTCCTGTCTGATGATCTGACCAGTGTGAGACGGAGTGAGAGCAAACAACCGCTTCCAGATAATCCAGAGAGATTTGACGAATATTGCTGTGTTTTTGGTTCAGAGGGTTTTAACTCAGGAAAACACTGCTGGGATGTGGAGGTTAAAGAGAGTTCAGATTGGAGTCTTGGAGTAACTACTGCATCAAACAAAAGGAAGGGACGTGAGTTCTTCAAGGCTGATGTCTGGAGTGTGTTGTATGGACTGTTTGTAGGGTCTGGTTTTCGTGTTAAACAGAAGCTTGAGCGTGTGAGAGTTGATCTGGACTATGACAGAGGAATTGTGTTATTCTCTGATCCTGTAACTAACAGACATCTACATACATTCACAGCCACCTTCACTGACACCGTCTTTCCATTCTTTGAATTTTCTTCCTCTCTTAAGATCTTACCATTCAATAGTCAGTACACATTACACCTGTAGGTCTGGATGTTCTTGCTTTTATCATGTTTCCAATATTTATTTGGTAACACTTTATAATAATGGTACACAAATAACCATGTACAAATATCTGAATTACATGAACTCATGGATTAGTGTAGACATAAGCTAATCATGAATCAATCAAAGAGCTATCCTTAACTCTGACTGGAGTCACAAGGATTCATGCATGAATAATGCAGCCTTAACTACATGTTGGTACATGTTTGATAGCTAATGCATTAATTAACATTTAGGGGTACTCTAAATCAAACAGTCTCTATAAGAAGGAATAATACATATTTTGACTTTCATATAAATATAAATAATTTAATATTGTCATAATTTAATTAACATCTGCAGCTTCATCATAAACATGACTGGATGGCACAAGATTAGTTTGTCATTATTTTCACTGATCCTTCTTATACTTGTAGCCTCAAATGTGACTTTCATGACACCCAGTAACACTGGTGTAACATCCATGATAGCTGGAGACTTAGGCGTGGCAGCCATGGTGTGATGAAACTCCGCTCGGACCAACATCAATGGAGGGTCCACCACACTGGATGCCAGTCTCGTCTGCCCAGAGATGGGTCCAGTAGCTGAAATGGTGCAGGCTGATAACATAAGTGGCAGCCCAAGCTCCGTGTCCGCCTAAGCTTGAGGAGCATTACTCCCCCCCCCAAAAAAAAGGTTGGGTTGGGGGGGGAATCCTCCTCCTCCACCTTGTTCAAGGTAAAGGGGGATCCACCCAGTTGTAGAGTGTGCTCCACAAATTGCTGAAAAGTCCCTCGAGGACCAACACAGGAGAGCTGTGTGCGCAGTGGTTCATTAAGTCAAGCACAATAAAAGGTTATAAGTGAATATTAGTGTGTGTGGTAGGCTAGGTCCATAACAACGCTCAGTTGTTCTGTTATGTGGTGGTGGATGAAGTAAGCAGTCTTGGATGTGGATCTAGTTTCAGGATTTTAATAAAGTAAAAAGATAACTTACAGAAAGGAACACTGAGAATGCAGAAACAAAAGTTAAAGGCACAATATGTAATTTTCGCCGCAAGAGGGCACATATTCAAAATAAACAAATAGACAAAGGCGTAGTTTGATGACGGCGTGACTGAGTGTGGAATCATGGGAGTTGTCGTCTTCATCCCCACAGCCGAAGCAATCCGACGGGGCAGAGACGCCACTGAAGGCCTAGGTGTAAAATGCACGGCCCGCCACTGATATATATATATATATATATATATATACTTTTTAACCACAAATGCTGGTCTCGCACCAGGCGACTTCACGCATTATGTAATCACGTTGGTAAGGTCGCACGTAACGCACGTCACGTAAGTGGAAGTACTGGCCCAGTGTTTACAAAGCGAATGTGCAAAGAAAGTAAAACTCGCTTTACAAAAAAAAAGGTAAAACAATGATGTCGGACGATTTTGAAGTTGGAGGAGAAAATGAGATGGAGATTTCCACCCTACTCTACCTTTTTGAACCGAAGTACACAGACGAAGAACTAAACGTGCATGACCTTTCCAATGTGATGACGTAACGCGTGAAGTCACGCATGCCCATCGCAAAGCTAGTGCAAGATGAGCATTTGTGGTTTAAAAATATATACTTTTTATATAAATATGGGCCCAGAAACTGACAACACTTACCAGGAAGAGACTGACTTATTTCTCTGAACCAGTTATTTCTATACATGCATATTTCCAATTTTTGGTGTAAATAAACAACTGTTTATTTCAGTTATAGAGGTTAGAATTATAATTTGTTTGTTGAAATAAATGGATGTAAAAGGTTCTTGCTAATCCACAAAAATAAAAATAATGAAATAGAAATACTTAAAATAGAAATACTTGATTACAGCTGGTTACAAATCAGAGGCATATATAAAATGTCTCAGGAATGCTCTTAAAGGGGTCATATGATGCGATTTTAAGTTTTCCTTTCTCTTTGGAGTGTTACAAGCTGATAGATAAGATCCCTGAAGTTGCAAAGACTAAAGTCTCAAAACCAGAGAAGGAGGGGGCTTTGTAGAAAACGAAGCGTTTGAGAGAGGCGGGGCATAGAGGACCTACAATAATGTACAGTATTTGAAAAATAATGTGTTTTTTGAACATGAAAGCATGTCAACATATTCTGTTACACCAAATACACAAAATAATGATCTTTAAAAAAGCATCATATGACCCCTTTAAGAAATGTCTTGAGCTTTGACTAAAGTGTCATAAAATCTTAATAAAAAGTAGGACTTGTCTAAGTGTTGTGTTACTGAGCTTTAACTACAAATACCACATTAAAACTACGTTACTGTGTTAAAACCATGGTAAGTGATGTGCTTACTATGCTTTAACTACAAATACCACATTAAAACTACATTACTGTTTTAAAACCATTGTAAGTGTTGTGTTACTGTGCTTTAACTACAAATTTTACTGAGCTTTAACTACAAATACCACATTAAAACTACGTTACTGTTTTAAAACCATTGTAAGTGTTGTGTTACTGTGCTTTAACTACAAATACCACATACCACATGAAAACTACGTTAATGTGGTAAAATCATGGTAATTGTTGTGTTACTGTGCTTTAACTACAAAGAGTACACAATAAACAGTAACTATAGTAAAAGTATGGTAAGTGTTCTGGTTACTGTGCTTTACAAATTGTTTGCAGTAAAAACACTGTTACTGTGGTAAAAGCATGGTAAGTGTTACCAAAATATTGGAAATATGCATGCATAGAAATAACTGGTTCAGAGAAATAAGTCAGTCTCTTCCTGGTAAGTGTTGTAAGTTTCTGGGCCCATATTCATGAAAATTCTTAGTGCAAAGAGTTGCTCCACCTAGTGACAAACTAATTCTTAGAAAAGTGGGTGTTTCCCCTTAAAAAGGGAAGGTCCTAGTAAAAATAAAAGTTATTCACAAAGCATTAAAAGAGCTCTTAAGGTCAAAAAGTCTTAGGAGTAGGAGGAGGACTTTTAAATGGACAAAAAACGAAGAGGGAGAAGAAAATGTGTTGCAGACAGTGAGTGATCTTATTATAATATTACCGCCCCTTAATCTGCACGTTTCCACCCATGGAGCCGTCATTGTGTTTTCGCAAGTGACAACGGTGTACCAGCTCTAATGCCATGGTGAAAGTTCGAGCAAAGCATGCTAACTGTTCTGCCGTTGGCTGCACAGATGAGCACAGAACACTATTTAGAGTCCCAGACTCAGAGACAAGAGAACAGTGGATTAATTAATTTATTTACTGTATATTATGCTGCTACCACACAGATCTAATATAAACACGCAATTTCTTTCCCAGCTAATGAAAGTTCGAGCAAAGCATGCTAACTGTTCTGCCGTTGGCTGCACAGATGAGCACAGAACACTATTTAGAGTCCCAGACTCAGAGACAAGAGAACAGTGGATTAATTAATTAATTTACTGTATATTATGCTGCTACCACACAGATCTAATATAAACACGCAATTTCTTTCCCAGCTATTTTACCTTCACAGATATAACCGACTGTTTTTGTAACTTGTTTTTAACATAAACTTGTGTGTATTTCACAGTTTAAGCACCATAAGACATGAAAGAGAACTTAGTTTAGTACTCACATGCTGTGTGACAGCCGCTTTATGTGCGCCTGCTTCAGATGTGTGCACTCAGAAAACACTATATCAGAAGCTTAAACTAATATTGTTTTGTTTTTTTGGCAGAGTATCTGAGGTACAAGCTGTAAAGGCACAGCCCTTTTCTGAAAAGGAGGCGGGGAGCAGCAGTTCATTTGCATTTAAAGATACATGCACAAAAACAGCGTGTTTCTGCTTCCACTCAAAATAGGCATTTTCAAAATGAAATAAATGATCTGTGGAGTATTTTGAGCTGAAATTTCACAGACACATTCTGGGGACACCTGAGACTTATATTATATATTGTAAAAAAGGGCATAATAGGTCTCCTTTAAAAAAGTTGTTGACAGATTAATAAAACTGGGGTTTTCAAACCTGTCCTGGAGGCCCCCAGCCCTGCACATTTTGTATGTCTCCCTCCTGATTCAACTCATCAGCTCATTAGTAGAGACTGTAGCGTCTGACTTCCGAAAACAAGAGTGTAAACATTGCTGAAGCACTTCCGCTATAGTTCGCCAGCCTTTTTCTTTCTTTGTTCTGTCGTGGTAGTCCCTCAGTGACACATCATACAGGCAGGAGTACTGTTGCCACAGCTCCACGAACCTTTCCTCCATCTCATAATTCCACCTAGCAGCACCATCATCTCTCTTTCGTTTTGCCATGTTTGAAACCTGTGTATGAAAGAGCTTCTGTGCTGCTATTGGTCAACGTCACCAATGTGACAGAACTCGTCGTGGACGACGGAAAAAAAATTAAACATGCTAGTCTTTCTGTCGTGATGTCGTGAAGCATCGCAGACGCAGAATCAGTTGTCGTCCACTATGACACACAACATGTGCTAAAAACGATGGAATCTTGCGTCCTGACGCCTATTGTCGTTTATGAATCCCCACGACAGCCTATGTCAAGCAAATCGTGGCAAAATCGGGCTAAAATCGTGTAGTCTGAACCGGGCATAAGACCTGAATTGGGTGTGTCTGATAAGGGAGACATACAAAATATGCAGGGCTGGGGGACCTTTCCAGATAATCACCAGTGTTTGTGACACCCGCGTAGGACTTGTCTAAGAGGAGCTTTTATTTAAAAAAAGAAGAAGCTAAAACAGCTTTCAGCTAAGTCTAAGACGTTAAGTCAAAAACATTAAAACAATCTTTTTACTATTTAAATTATTTTTTTTAAACATTGTGCATTATATGAAAATATTATAAATAAGTGAATGTGCATAAGTGCATGCATTGATAAAAAAACTGACACACAACATGTGCTAAAAACGATGGAATCTTGCGTCCTGACGCCCATTGTCGTTTATGAATCCCCACGACAGCCTATGTCAAGCAAATCGTGGCAAAATCGGGCTAAAATCGTGTAGTCTG